CTGAGGAGTGTGTCGGCAGAGAGGCGACCGCACAGCAATATGCAACAACATCCGAGGTAAGCCATGCTGGTTGCCAATTATCGAAGTAGACGGGGGAGTAAAGTGTCTTGTGGACACGGGTAGCTCGAGCACTATTATGACTCGAAGGGCGTTAGGAAAAGGGTGCGGGAGCGAGAGGGTACTCCGGATACAGAAATGTGACTGCCAGCTGATCACTCTGGGTGGTCCCTGTAGTGTAGAGGGTGAGGCGACAATTGGGCTTGATCGGTGGACAGGGAAAGAGGGTGAGCTAACGGTGCATGTGGTAGAGAACATGACTCGGGAATACCAAGTCATAGTAGGGTGCGATTTGTTAGGTCAGGTAGGGGCGAGCATTAGAAACCGTAGAGGAGTCTGGAGCGTTAGGTTAGGAAAGAGGAAGTTCGGATGTATAGGGGTCGCGAGAGAAAGAAGGGTGCGGATAGGAGCGGTGGACAGAGTGGAGGACTGGAGGAAGTTGCTACAAGAGGAGTTTAGGGATATCTTCTTCAGGGAAGGTGAGGTATTAGGAGTAACAGGGAGGACGGTGCACGAAATCCCACTGAAACAGGAGAGGGTAACTTACGTGAAAGAGAGAAGATACCCGCAGGCGTTGAGACAGCATATTCGGGAGGAGCTAGATAGTCTAAAAGAACAGGGAATCATAGTTGATAGCACCTCACCATTCAATAGTCCCCTGTGGGCGGTGAAAAAGAAGGCAGCGCCGGGGGATAATAAGGAAAAATACAGGGTGGTAGTAGACTATCGTAAATTGAACGATAACACGGTAGACGAGAAGTACCCGATCCCGAGATTCGAGGATATACTCGATAGGTTGAGTGGGGCCGTGGTCTTTAGCACGCTGGACCTCAAGGCGGGATACCACCAAATACGGATGCACCCGGAAGACCAACACAAAACAGCGTTCACATTTGAAAGGGGGCATTATGAATTCACCAGGATGCCGTTTGGTCTGAAGAATGCGCCCATAACGTTTCAGCGTCTGATGGACGAATTTTTGAGGGGCATCGATGACTCGGTATGCCAGGTATACATGGATGACCTGCTGATTTTTAGCAGAACGGAAACCGAGCACGTGGAGCATCTGAGGGCAGTATTCGAAAGGCTCCGGCAATTCGGGCTGAAATTGTCAAGCGAGAAGTCTCTGCTGGGACAAACGCGGATCAATTTTTTAGGCCACACTATCTCTAGCGAGGGGGTCAGACCGGATGCGGCAAAGGTGGAAGCAATCACGCGGATGGCGGTACCACGGGACGTCAAGGGGATTCGTAGGCTTCTCGGGACGCTGAATTATTACCGGAGATTCGTACCCGAGATGGCAGAGTATTTGGTACCCATTAACAATTTGTTGAAGAAAGGCGCGAAGATTGTGGTGACACCAGAGATGGAGAATAACATTCGAAAATGTATGAATAGGTTGCTGACGGAGCCGGTGTTAGCGTTTCCGGATTTCGAGAAGCTTTTTAATATAACCACTGATGCGAGTGAATACGCGCTAGGGGCCGTTTTGTCCCAGGGGGGGAGTGAGGGTGAACGACCGATAGCATACGCGAGCCGTCGGCTTACGGGTGCGGAATCAAGGTACAGCGCTTTGGAGAGGGAGCTACTCGCGATAGTATGGGCTATCGACCATTTCAGGCCATACGTATTCGGGAGAAAATTTCGAGTCCATACCGACCACAAACCCCTCCAGTGGGTAGGAAAACTCAAGGAAACCTCAGCTAGGGTCACAAGATGGAAGGAGATCCTAAGCCAATACAACATAGAGGTGGTGTATAAGCCGGGAAAGGAAAACGTGGTGGCAGACTGGCTCTCGAGGGCCATCATGATCAACGCGGTTGAAGAGGACAGGGGAGGACCATCGCAGGACGTGCGCCAATTCTTGAGGGAATGGACTCCCGATGGCGAAGGGGCAAATGACACCGCAGGGATTGAGGACAGGGGAGATTCCCCAGAAGAGGAGAGCTCAGCGGAGGAAAGGGCAGCGGAGATGGAAGAAATAGAGGAGATCGTGAACGACAAACACCGTCAGGTGATTTGGAAGACACGAACAACCGGAATCATGAAGATCGATTTCAGAAGGTACGGGAGAAGTAGGATCCGCGTCATTTGGTCGCAGCCCGGGGTCAGCGAAGAACAAATCTGTACGGCACTGAGGGATGCCTCGGAAGCGGGTAAAACGCACTACCTATACGTAGGAAACAATACGGTATGGGATAAGATCAAGCGAATGTGGAGGTCCGAGCGAATAGGCGTGGACAGGACATTCATCCGGTGTAAGTATGCTGTGGAGACGGTACAGGACGAAGAGCAGCAGCAAGCAATCACAGTAGCATATCACCAGGGGAAAACCAATCACCGAGGCGTTAATGAGACGCTGCAGGCATTGCGTCGGAAGTATTTCTGGTGGGGCATGAAGAGGTCCATCCAGGAAGTCATTGGGAAATGCGAGATATGCATGCGCACAAAATACGATCGACACCCCCCCAGAGGAGTTCAGGAGGAGACACCTACAGGGAATATGCCGCTACAGGACCTTCAGATTGACACGTTTACCTGGAAAGGGTTTAAGTGGGTCACGGTAATCGACATATTCAGCAAGGTGGCGATGGCATACCAAGTGATGGAGAAGTCAGCCAATGCAGTTGCGGAAGCCCTACAAACCTGGGTGCAGTTCTATGGGGTCCCCGAGAGGATTACTTCGGACGGTGGTAGGGAGTTCGACAATGCCGCGATTAGGGAGGAGGTGAAGCGATTGGAAATTGCGTGGCATTATAACACCCCAGGACATCCTAAAGGTAGAGGCGGTATTGAACGGCTGCACAGTACGTTAAGCGACCACGTCCGTGTATATCAGGGTGAAAAAGGGTTGGAGCCGGATGTGGCAATGAGGAAAGCGGTAACAGCCTATAACCACTCGATCCACTCCGTAACGGGGTTTTCACCCATGGAAGTTCTATTCGGGATGCGCAGGCCAAGGCGGGATTATGGGGAAACAACGCTTACCGAACCGTTAGTGGATCAAATTCTCAGCAATAGGGTAGAGGTAGAGAAAACATGGGGAAAGATAACGGCGAGAATTAAGCGGGAAAAGCAGAAGCGGGTGGAAAGGCAGAATGTACAAGTTCGCGACCAAATGGGGGAACTAAAAATAGGAACAATAGTTTACCGGAAATTGGGAACCAACAGAGGGAAACAATTGCTACGGTACGAGGGTCCATTCAGAGTGGTTGTTATTAGGGAGCATAACCTGGTAACTATTGAGAGCGTGAATGAGCCCAGAAAGAGGAGAACCGTTCATATCGAACAATTAAAGCTCCCAATGATAGAGTCGGGACATAGACCTACGGATTCGTAGTACCCTCACCGCTGTATATAAAACAGAGAAATATGTTTTTTTTGTGGCTGTCAAAACAAAACAAGTTGTAAAAGATTTTTTTTTTTTTGTTTTTGTTGTATTATTTCATGTATAGAGGAAATTGTGTTTTTTTTTGTTGTTGTTAGGAGTTCTCAAGTGGTAGGAGTTCTAAAGTGCTGTGTTTAGTTTCAGTGTTTTTAATTATTTCTTCGGTATTTAATATTTTTCCAGTTGAGTGGAACTATTTTATTTTCTTTTAAGGATATACTGTAAAACCAATTGTAAAGTGTTAAGGCTGGTCACCGTGGGCTCCGATCTAGCAATATTTAAGTTTCCGAAAATCCTGTTCGTAAACTGGTGGGGGGGAGATAAAGACCGGAGACTGGCGGTATCAGCCTTAATACTATCTGGTAATGTAAATAAACAGGCTAAGTGTATATAAGGAGGCTTATGGAACGAATAAAGGAGTGTTATTTCAGAAGTCGTGTATGTTACATCTTTTCCCTTTTTCCTTCTTTTTTTTTGTTTTCTAAGTCCGACGACGCTTAACTTATATATATATATATATATATATATATATAATAAAATCAAAACCAATAAATGAATAAAATAAAAACCATAAAATAAAATAAAGATAATTATAATTATATTTATTTTATGAAATGTGTGCTAGTAAAAAAGTGATATTATTTTATATATTTATTTATTTCGTGATGGTTATTTAATACTTCGAAACATATATTTCTCTTGGATACTTGGATCCGAAATTTTTCATAATCATTATACTTTCACTTTAGTATATTTAATATTTACTCATGTATTCCGTGGATTGAACAGTTGAATTGAAACTTTAAAGTCGTTACATTTTTATTATAAAAGAAAACACAATCCATACTTAAGAAAAGAGTCTATACTTTGTTTTGGTCTCATTTAACAGTATAGAATAAATTACCGATGTATTGTTTGCATTGTCGAGTACAACAATAATAGATTTACCTAATATTATTACTAATATTTTTGTTACAAGGGAATATTTTGGGCCATTGTAGTGAGTGTTAGATAGGTTATTTAGAAAGTTTTTTAAATACTTCTGAAAATTATACTTCGTGGAAAATAAACCTATTACCATTTTTCTTGACGAGTAGTTAGAAATAGTGGCTATATATGCGAATGAATAGTGATAGCGAGGTTACTGTGATTAATTGCGATCTACTAAAGAGCTATCTTTTGAGGCAGTGTTTTGTGTTTTCGTTTTGTTCTAATTGTTCATAGCCATCTTATTGTTTTCTAGTGTTTTATCATGTTTTTTATTGTTGTTATTAGTTGTAAGTGTAAATAGTGTACATAGATTGAAGTTTGGACAGGAGAGGTTAAGTCGTATAAATTTCGTGAAGGAGTTCTTGTTTGAAAAAATTTGAGTTCCGAGTGTTATATTGAGTAGAATATCTCTAAAAGACCTTCCCAGGGAGCACAAAGAAATTAACTTTACTGAATCTGTGTAAAAAAAAAAAAAATTGTAAGTATAACCTGTTTATGTGATAAGAAATATTATTACTGTTACTATTTAAGTTATTAAGTGTCTACTCTTTAAAGACTTGTCCAGGAGTAATATTATAGACAACATGGAGGGAGATGAAAGGGAAGAAGGGGACCCTCCAAGGGTTTCACGTTCAACCGCAAAAAGGGCGAGAAAGGTTTCTCTTGTTGATAACGCAGAAGCTTCTGAGGTAGGAATCTCAAATGACTTCCTTCAAAAAGCAAAGATAATTCAAGAAAACCTCCGAATATACCTAACTAAAGCTGACAAAAGTATTAAAAATAAAGACCAAAACCACATTAATGGCAAAATACAGTGGTTCATTGACGCTATTGAATCGTTGGAGGAAAGGACAAAGCAGTACAAAGATAAGAGTGAGGGTTTATCTTTACTTGTCCATAAAGCGGTTCAGGAAACACTTACCTCGCCTTCAGTACATTCGATGATAACAAGCATCATAATAGAGAAAACAGTGCCGAAGGTTATAGAATCTCTCTCACCAACCACTATGAAATCTAATGGTCCCCTCGCCATCCCTGGAAAAAGCAACGAAAAGTCATCCGCGACTAACGTGACCCCGCCTGAGCCTTTACCAGCCGCAGTTCCTTTTACAGTCGTTAAGAGCAAAAGAAACAGGAAAAAGACTAAAAAGTCTACCGGTCCCGAAAGCCTACAAACCGAAAATGAAACGCATAAGACAGAGACGGAATCTTTGACTGGGTCCGGTCCAAATCAGCCGAAGTCATTGGCCGAAATAGTAAGAAAATTGCCTTTAAAACCAACTCAGTCCCTCAAGCCGGCGTTTATTACTATTAGCGGTACCGGTAAGAGTCCGGTGGACATTATCAATGCCCTGCCTTCCCCCACAGAAATAGGTGTTAAGGCTGAAATTGTTCGAGCAACCAAAGGTGGTTCCGTTTTAGTCCGATTAGAAGACAGTACCCATGCCACTAAAATAATTGGTTGGCAGGGGTTACGGGAGAAAGGTTTTCAGGCAAAACTAGCACAAAGAAAGAAACCTAAGATTGAGGTGAGGGGTGTCCCTCACTCATGGGGCTCAGCTGAATTAACGAGATTTTTGTGGGGAAGAATAAACGAGAAGTCAGTCCCTACTACACTCATTAATGATGATATACGGCCATTATTATCCTCAGTATCTAGAAATGGACTAAGTAGGAACTGGGTACTCGAAGTTCACCCAATGGTGAGGTTCCAGCTGTTGGAAATGGCAGCTTTAGATGGAGGATGGTGGTCCATGACGTTTAAGGATTACCTCGACGCCCCTCGTTGCACAAAGTGCCAAGGCTATGGACACACGAAGGCTACCTGTACGGTGGATACCGTTGTATGCATATGGTGTGCAGCCAATGGACACATACTCAAGGACTGTCCAAGGAAGAAGGAACAAACTTGCCCGACTTGTATTAACTGTGTGCGGGCGAGTGCACCGCAAAGCCAAACGAAGCATAAAGCGGGCAGCCGAGAGTGCCCTGTACACTTAAGATGGTCAAACGAGGTGGCTAAGAGGACCTACTATGAATAATATCACCATTCTCCAGCTCAACATGGGCCGTCGTCGCATCGTAGCGGATGAGTTAAGGGCTCTTGTTGGACGTTATGATGTTATGGCGATTCAAGAACCGAGCTGCCGTGGGAACATGGTCACGGGGTTCGGCCTCACATCGAGGGTTATAGCTCTGAGCAGTGGAGAGAGGAGGCCCAGGGCAGCTATAGTGGTAAATAACCCAAACCTCGATGTGATGGATCTGAGGCAGTTTACCACGGCGGATTGTGTCGCATGTTATATCAAATGGGGTAATATTACCTTTACGTTGGTTTCATCATATCTTCCTGACGGAGGTGATATAGACAACGACATATCCGCCATGGAGATGATCACGGCTTGCTATAGAAACATCATCATCTGCTCAGATACCAACTCCTGGAACACGGTCTGGGGATCCAATCAAACGAATAGAAGAGGCGTTAAACTCGGAGAATTCATTGGCCGAAGCCAGCTAGTGGTAATGAATGATCCCTCTGCCTTGCCAACGTTTTCTAGCGCTCGAGGGCAGAGCTGGATTGATGTAACACTGGCATCACCGGTGCTAGCGAGTCGCATCAACGATTGGATCCTCCGATCTGAAACGAGTTCCGACCACCAAGCGATAGCTTTTAAGCTGGTGGAAAATATGGAAAGTTCCCACGGCATCGCTATGGGTTATTTAACCCGAAGGGCAAATTGGAAAGCCTTCCGGTCAACGCTGGAGGAAAAATTAGTAGATGAAGAATGGGATGAAGCGGAGACGGATCAGACAGATAGTCTAGATTATAGGGTCTCTAGGATCACAGATGTCATCCGTAACGCCGCTGAGGAATCCCTCCAGCAACGGAAGGTGAGAGCTCGACCTATCCCATGGTGGACGCCGGCCTTAACTGCTATGAAGAGAGAGCTCTACAAGGCCCGGCGGTCCTATCAAAAGTGTGGTAGTGAGGAGAGGCGCACAACACTTCGCGACGAGTATAGGTCCAAGTCCAGAGCATACCGAAACGAAGTGCGCTCTCGAAAAAGGAAGTCTTGGGACGAGTTCATTATTGAAGAATCGTCCAAGAACCCCTGGGGTATCCCTTACAGAGTTGCCTTGGGTAAGTTAAATCCACAACAGGTAATAGCCGCATTGAAACGCGGAGCTACTCAGGCAACCACTCTGGAGGAGACGGCAAAAACGTTCATTGCGGAAACCTACCCCAGGGATGATCCGTCCCAAGATAATGAAGAGGAGAGATACATTAGACGCACTACGGTATGCCCACCAGGTACGGACCTATGCCCACCATGGGACATATGGGATCTCCGTGCTGCCGTGGATAGGCAAAGGACTGGTCGAGCTCCTGGCTTGGATTCGATAGACACAGCAATACTAAGGAATAGTATCCCCTACATTGAACAAAGGCTGTTAGCATTGTTCAATGATTGCCTAGACAGGGGTTACTTCCCTAAAATATGGAAGATTGCTGATGTTAGACTCCTTTATAAGGGAGGAGATAAGGACAAGCAGTTAGCGAAGTCATATAGGCCTATATGTCTCCTTCCTATAATGAGTAAATTGTTGGAGACCTTGCTGATGAGGAGTCTACGACCAGTCTTCTTAAGGGCTAGCCATCCACGACAGTACGGATGTACTAAAGGTAGGGGAACCGCAGATGCTCTGCTCAGGGTGCGCCGTGACGTTGAAGAGAAGGCGGAGAAGTATGTAATGCTTCTCCTGTTTGATATATCCTCCGCCTTCGATAGCGTTTGGTGGCCGAGTGTACTCCAGCAGTTGCAAAAGTATGAAGCTCCCAGCAACCTGTACGACCTCTTAAGAAGCTATCTAGAAGACCGCAAATTAATGATAAAAGGTAACTTCTTTGCTGTAGAGGATTCTGTAGAAAGAGGATGCCCACAAGGATCTGTACTAGGTCCAGCCTTGTGGAAACTGGTATTTGACGAGCTGCTGGGAGTACTGGAAGAGCAGCGGTTCCCCGCCACTGCTTACGTAGACGATCTCGCAGTCGTGGTGGCATCGAACAGCAGAGCCAGATTAAAGGAAGAGGCTGAACGGTGCGCCAACCTTGTAGGAGAATGGTGCGAGAGAAAGAAGATGAAGATGGCGGCTTCAAAGACTCAGTCCGTTCTTTTGAGGGGTAAGACTGACAGGGCCCACCCTATCACTCTGAATATACAGAGAGAAACGATACGTCCAAGTGAGGCGGTCACCTATCTTGGGATAAGGACTGGAAGAAAGTTTAACTTCACCCCTCACTTGGACTATCTGAGAAGTAGAGTGGCCCTGGCTCTTAATGGACTGAGTCGCATCGGGGGCGCCTTTTGGGGTCTCAGATACCCAGCCACTTTGGCTATTTATAACGGAGTTATCTTGGCTATCCTGAGATATGCGTCCCCTGCGTGGAGTCAGACTCTCTCGCACCAACAGAAGAAAAGGTTGGCGACGATCCAGCGTATGGCTCTGCTGCGTGTCACTAGGGCGTACCGGTCAGTATCTCATGAGGCGGTACAAGTCTTAGCCGGAAGTATTCCAATTGATCTTCCACTTTGTGAAGACTACTTTCGGCACGAAATGAAGAGAGATGGCTTGGTGGATCTACCGGCTAATCTCCGAGTGAGGATCAGTGAAGACCCAAGCAGATGGAAGAGGATTCTCCGGGAATGCACATTAGAAGAATGGAACCGGCGTTGGGTGACAACGCCAAAAGGATCAACCCTAAGGAAATACTTCCCCACCGTCGGTTCAAGAATGGAAATTACATGGCTCCTCCCGGACTATTGGGTCTCGCAATTCCTCACGGGGCATGGGGGATTCCGAGCAAAGCTTGTTCAACATGGTAAGAACATTGATCCCCTATGCCCAAGTTGTAGGGTACCGGAGACCGCCGAGCACGTCTTATTAGCCTGTACTGCCTATGAGGCATTGAGGGCTAAGTTGCTGAGGGAGACTGGGCTCTATGTCTTATCAGAGCGCGATCTACCTCAGCTAGTGACCAGAGAGAACTACCCGCACTACAAGGCCTTTGTGTACGGGTGGAAAGATATCATTGGCCCAGCCCACTTCTATTTGGGTAGAAGAGAAGAAGCTCCACCACAGAGGATGGAAGAGCCAAGCTAAACAGAAAATCTTATTGTATCGATTGCAGTATTGGCTAGTTATGCACACACGTCTAGCTATCCAATACTGCAAACACTCGTATTGCCAAACTGGCAGGGCAGAGATTTAAATAAATAAATAAATAAGAAATAGTGGCTATGAAATTAATCAAAAGTATAAATCAATAGTATTTTGACTCGTTTTCTTAGTTTTTGCCCCTTATCAATTCCAGGAAGCGTATGATATTCGAACTTAAATAAAAACTCTGACTGTATCATTCTAAAACCACACTTTTTTTTTTTATCGTTTCCTCGTTTTACCTTTCTATAAGTAATGTTTCCATGTTGCAGGACGCCAAAGGGCTTGGAAGACGTGTCCAAGTACCCGGACCTCCTGGCAGCTCTCATGAAGGACCCACAGTGGGGTGAGCTGCAAGTGAAAAAGTTGGCAGGTCAAAATCTGTTAAGGGTGTTCGCAAGGGCCGAACAGGTAAACTTTTTTAAAATTATTTTTGAATATTAATTACATATAATATTGAAAATTTGGTTTAGAAATAAAACCGCATTTGCAATTATGTGGAAGTATGGAAGATCAAATCATCAAATTGCTGGAAGCAGGATTCATAGAAGAATCTCAATCTGCATTCGCGGCACCGGTAACATTAGAATGCAAGAAAGAAGATAATATAAGATCACCAGCCTTTTGAGTCCAGTTTCGGCCGTGTTCAAACTCATAAAACGAAATTATGTGAAAATGACGCTTTGATCTTTGATCTTAATAAATATTAAATTATTTTCAACTTACTGAAATGCTACAGAAGATAAAAATATTTTTATTTTAATTAATAATAAAATATTTTGTTCTCTTTAACTATTTATGCGCACCTGTCATGGTATTGGCAATCAGCAGATGTGTTGTGATGATGAGGATTGGCATTATAGTCATGAGGGAGGGTAGTACCCAGCAGCACTTCTTCCTGGTCATTATTTACTTATTTGATTTAGGTGAGATCTCTCATCCAGCTCCTTTTTAGTCTCCTCCTGATGAACATGTCAATCTTGGCCATGTCGTTAATATATCCGTTTGTATGTCCGTATAGTTTGAGATGAAAACGGGAGTAGAGAGTACGTATGTGTTGGTACGTAATTGGTTGTCGTAAGTCGTTATGTAATGTTTTGTTGTTGACATACCAGCTCCTGTTACAAGTCGTAAAATATTGAATTTAAATGACTGTAGTTTTTGTAAGTGCGTCTTTTTTGCCGAACCCTAAATTTGAGGGGTTTGAATAGGTAAGTGTATGTATTTAGTTTTTGTCAAACTTTCAATTTCGATTTAGAAAAAAATGAGTACAGTATTTTCAATCACTTGTTTAAAGTCTGTCGTTTCATTTTGACCTGTGGACTCCAGGTCATCCTTTTGTCGAATATTAGTCTCAGGTATCGTACTGTGTTAGTCTGAGGAATTGGGTTCTCTCCTATAGTAACTGTTGGGCACGTTTCTCATCGAAGCGTAAATGTTATATATTGTGACTTGTAATGATTTAATCCTATTTTACAAAGTGAGTACCAATTTTGTAAAGTCAGTAAGTAATTTTGTAAATTCGTTGAAATCATTAGTCTGGTGTTTTGTTAAAACTGTTTTGTAGTCAGCGTAGGTAGCGGTCAATGAATATTCTTTCAAACGTAAGCAATTTCTTATATAGAGTGTTGAAAAGAATTAAATAGTGTTTTTATAAAACATAAAATTCTGCATAAATTTGCAAACGACCCAATAATATCGGTTAGATGTAATTTTATACTTATTTTGACGAAGAAACTTTACCGTGTAAAGCTTACCCAATAGAAAAATAAAAGGAGGCTTAGTGATTGCTCAGAGGATTATTATTGGTAGATGCTGGGACCTCCTCATCGCTAAGCCCCGGCTATTAACGACAAGGAGGGGCTAATGAGTTCATTCAACCCTCGCCACTGTGTCACCTCCACCTACTCCTCATTAAGCAAACTAAACTGGGCTAATATCAATTTAGTACTCCTCCATAAGCTGCCCGATATTCCTTTGATTATAAAAATATCGATTAGGTTTCACTGTAGGAATGAATATGTGCTAATTGAGATGGTGATAAATTAAAGAGGATTAAAAACCCTCATATTTATTTTTTATTCTTGAACACAATTTTAGCTGATAATTGATTCGTTTACTTGAGATGATAATATAAATTTCTTTTCATGAGATTTCTGCCGTGTAGAGCGTTTCTCTTCAACAATACTCACCCACATTTCTTGGTTTTTCCTGTACATTTCCAAATATTAAGCATATTTTTTTCCTGCATTACAATTAAGGCTCCTATAGATATCCTATGCTCCAAATAATTTCCACTTCAGTTTCTCTGATTGACTGAAGGAAACAGACTAAAAAGAAATGGTTAAACTTTAAGTATATTTCTGATAATACCTATAATGGCAGCCCGAATTACTCGATTTACCGATCACCGTTAACCGTGATTCGGCCGGATCAATCTCAACGGAACCCTCCCACCTATATCTCATCCTATCCCCAGTATTCTGCTACGTAAAGAACAAAGCACTACATACCAGCTTACAAAAATCAACTATCGACCAACACACGCATCGTATTTACTTTCGCTTTAATATTTAGCTACACTGAAAAAACTACATACTTATAATTGGCATGGGCATTAGGAGGCGACTGAAAAGGAGCTGGATGATGATCTCCTTACCTTAATTAGAGCAAGTAAACAAAGAGCAGGAAGAGATGCTGTTGGGTACTATTCTTCCTAGTACCTAAAATGCTATTTTCCAAATAATACAACTCCTTATTGTCACGTTAATGACAGATTCGGATGGATATTTAAAGAGAAAACAAATATTACGTTCAGTATTTATCGGTAGGGTCGCCCGGAAATGAATGCAGGCTTCTCATTTTAAAATAAAAGAAATGATACGAAACTATTTTTCCAGTGTCCAGTTTTTTAAAACTATTTTTCTAGTTTACTACTAATTTTTAACTACTTTGGACTATCGTTTTTTTTTCCTGGATCGAAAATCATAAAACTTGTGATAACTTCGACACGGCTCTACCTATTTATCAAAAAGAAACTTTGAAGGGATTTGTTAATCTCATACTTCAAAAGAGGGTACTAACTATACCGTTGCATTGCAATAGAACTGGAATTAAAATATAATATATATATATATATATATATATTTATTTATTTATTTATTTTTTATCTTAAAATATTAATCTGCATCTGTCGATGACGATAAACAATCAGCAGATGGTCTGATTAAAGTAATGAAACTCACATGCCAGGCATGGGGGAGGATAGCACCCAACACTACCTCTTTCATGGCTTGAATCAATTACCAAGGTTGTTAAGGAAGGATGTCTCTCTTCCAGCTTCTTTTTAGTCTCCTCCTCATATTGATGGGCATGTCAGCTGAAGTCATATCTCTAGTTAGTATGTTAGTAAGTCCGTGCAAATTATTGCGAATCGTTTGTAAAGAGTTCTCATATTTGTTGGTCAACTGAAGGTATGTAAGGTTTTGTTTGTCAAGTACCAAGGTGCTTTTGTTAAAAGTCGTAATATTTTTGAAATGAAAGTTTGAAGTTTGTGTAAGTGAGTCTTTTTAGCTACACCGTAGATCTGTGACGAGTAAGTCTATATGGTTTAAGTAAGTATAGGTTTCTGTCTCAGTTCTAATTTTTAAGAGTTAGAAAAAAGTTAATAAAGCAGTTTGAGTCGTTTATTGAGGGTCTTCCGTTTCATTTTTATATGCGGGTCCTCATGGCATCCTTCTGTCAAAGGTCATGGACCATGGAAGTGTACGGTAACCGTCTGATGAATTTTGTTGTTTTCGATATAAATTGTAAGGCATGCATTTCTCCGAAGTATAAATGTAATTTCTTTCGATATACCGTAGTTTAGTATTGGTATTAGGTATGCCGTAAGTATATACAATATATACTAGTGGAGCCAGCACTGAACCTTGGGGCACTCCCGCCAAGAACTGACAAATAGAAGAATTTGAGTCCTTGAGAAAAATGATAATTGAATTTCTTTTTTTATTTATTTCATATAAATGGAAATAATCTAAAAGTCGTTAAATCAATTATGATATTCTAGAGGCCATATAAACATATATATTTTTCAAATTAACTTGGAAAATATTTCACGTCTCAACCTAACCGTCCCAAAATTCTGCTTTTGCATTTGTTATGCCTTTGAACAGGAATCAGGAATTTTCAAAAAACGAAGCAGATTGCCAAGTTTATATAAATGTATTGTCAGATTTTTGAGAAATATAATTCTGATTTGTTTAAAAATCGTACAGGCCAGACCGACCTCATTAACATATATATTACCGGCTTCGGTGTTCCTGTTGAGCATACTTTCTGTTCTGTCGTTTGGCTGAATGCTAATAACTGTTATGAGTACGTGAATACAATAAAATAATAATATGAAGCTGCTATCAGATAATCCACACAAGCTGACTCTATAACCAGTTGAATGCTATTTCCTCAAATCCTTAGATACATTACCTTACATAATTTAGCTGGAGCCTTTAGCACAATGTTCAGAAAGCTTCAGGATTTCCATGATTAAAAAAAACGAAATGTATATAATGTGATTTCTGTAATTAACGAACTACTTACAGATTTGAACACATTTCATACTTTTAAATGAAATTTAATGTGTATATATATATGTGTGTATATATGTGTATATATATATATATATATATATATATATATATATATATATATATATATATATATATAAGTAGTTCTTTTTCTCGAATTTTACAGGGCAATATAAAAAAAAAAGAAAAAGAATGCATTAAAATGGTTGATCCCACGGCAGTAGCATCCCCTTGTTAATAGGTTCATAAACTTGAAATAAGTTGCTATAAACTTGAAACAGAGACCTGTTGATCGCCAAGTGTAATCGACCTATTAATTTTAAAACAGTTATTTTATCTCAACTAGCGATAAATTTTATTGTCACCAATTCAATTTATTTTAGTTACAATTAAGCTTTTATGGTGGAATGCAGCGATTGGGTGATTTATTTCTGATTTATTTATTTATTTCAGTCGTCAAAAATATTTTTGTATCATACATCTTGAATAAAAAGATCACTCAAATCAAAAAGTTTTTGATTAGCAATATAAGAGTGTATTGATTTTTTTACGCTGATCTTCCACAACGCGGTTTCCATTGCTTTAGTTTATCTAACAAATCGTACTTAAATCTTTTCTTTGATCGATTTCAAGAAAATATTTTTTTTTGGTTTAATGTTTTATTTACACCTGTTATAATGGTAATGACAACCAGTGAATGTGAGATCGATTGGAAAAATTCATGTCATAAAAGGCATTACGAGGTTCAGTGCCCAGCGGCACCTCACTCGGCGTGATATCTACATTAGACGAGGAGATCCCTCATCCAGCTCCTCTTCAGTCTCCTGCCGACGTTACCTGGCATATTCGTAGTGGCCATGTCATCTATAAGTTAGGATGTCCTTGTAAGTTGTCATGGAATCGTTTGTAATGAGTTCGTATGTGTTCGTTAACAGTCGGCATATGGATGTCAGTATGTAAGGTTATGTTGCTAACGTACCACGGTGCTTTTGTAATTGTTCTGAATGTTTTTGCTTGAATGATTTGAAGTTTGTTTAAGTTAGTC